CCATTTCTATTAATAGTCCATTAATATTATTCCATTGCTAGATGTATCAATAAATCACACAGAAAAATCAGAGGTATAACATTTTAGTATAGTAAAACAAAAGATATAGCTGTAACAGATGATGATGAAAAAGTAATTTCCATTTTAAGTGAAATACTAGGACACAYTGTAACAAGGGAAAGTTTTTAAAAAGAACATTTCTAGAATTTCTATCTGAGATTTTTCAGAGGAAAGTTGGAAGTTTTCTGGGTTTTTCAGTTTGATTTTTATAAGTTTTTGGGAATTCGTACCCCAGAACAATGAAAGGAGGCTTACAGTGAGTTGATATTTGAGCTGAGAAGGATAAGTGAACTTTCCACTTTTGTTCCAATCAGTTCTAGACAGTGAAAAAACATTAACGAAGGAGATTGATGAAGAAAAAAGGGACATTGACCAGAGGTTAGAAGAGAATRCTTGAAGCATCCTATCTCTTACATGGAGTTCTCGCTTTGTGCTCATACTGTCTTGTTTGCAGTATTTTTCAAACCTTGGAACATGAAGATTTGATGATTATTTTGTCAATATTAGGATTCTGTTCCCCCAATCACTGCGTGCCCATACCAGCTATCTCTTCTAAACTGTGGAGCCCTTCTCCTGCCTCCCAAAGCTCTCCAGTGCCCAAAACCTTTCTCAAACCCTGCATCATCACAACATTGTTCCAATTTGAAACTCTTAACCAGCTGTTGTGTACAAGGTCTTTAAATTCAGCCTTTTGTCTTCACGGAACATACATTTTAAACTAGATATATGGAATCTAAAAAAACAATCAAAAGAATAATGAGATAATGAAGGCTRCATAAATTACTTTCAATTATACTAAATGGGAACAGAAAGATTTGTGATACAGAAGGAATGGAATTGCTCAGAAATATTAGGAGAACTAGTGATTTCCAGAAACAGGGCAGTTAAAGAAACAGGTATTATTTTCCCTCTTTGTCACCTGTTACAAAGCAGTTATGTCTTTTTGCCTTATTTAGCGTTTTTGTATTTTTTAAAGAAAAATCTCTAGGAAATTTGCTCTGAAGTTTTCCTATTGTCATGGACTTATATGTGTGCAGAAATTATTTCTAGATGTGCTTTAAGATTAACATTAAGAATATGTTTTCTAGGGCTTGGATGAATTATGCAACATTTATCATCCAGCAGATTATTCCCCTGCTGGTGAGATCAGCAGCTTAAGTTTTGATTGTTTAAGATAGCTGTTTCTCCCTCACAGGTGATAACATCACCCATGTATGAATTCATTACCTTAACTATCTTACWTTAATCTTTATTTACTTACTGCATGCTCTTAAGTTTTTAATTAAGATGCATTTTAATTTATTGTGGTAAAGGCCTGATTTATCTTGATTATGTTCCCTGGAATCTCTTGATTCCCAATTCACAGCCATGGAGTTGACAATATCACCAGCTTCACCTTCTTCCTCCTCAGACTAGCAGCCCCACTCACATCCCTATCCAGCTAATCCATGTCTCACCCTCCTACTGTTATGCTCCATATCTTTCCCAGTCATAGCTGAGTTACAGCATCCTGAGCAGGATACAAAATTTGTCCTGCAGCATAAGAAACACAGGATGAAAAGGGGAAATGGTGAGTAGGTGTGGGGGCAATACCTCCAGCAACAGTCCAGCTTGTCACTCTTGCACAGGAGGTGCAGGAATACCTGTAGCAACTCTTTCACATTCATTGGATTTATGGGATCATTCCTGTGCCTTCCTTGCTTTAGTGTTCCCAATAGTGATTTCAAATGGATGGATCCAGGAACAGCTGACACATTTCCTTTGTGTCATTGCTCTCCTAGATGTTCTCAAATCCAAGATGACAGCATTATGTCATCATTATGACAGCATTATGTACTTATGTCTATGTACTCTCTTCATTGTTTGGGGAAAGTCTTGGCATCCTGCTGATGTCAGGTTTGCACTCTTCAACAGCTGGATTGGGAAACCCACTGGAAAACACCAAGACACATTTCCCTGGATATCTGTTGTTTTGGAGACCAAGAAAGGATGGTGTGAGCCCAGTTGTTGTCTCAGTTCTTGATGCACTGTCAGACCATGGGTCTGACAAGTTCAATTTTGAGAATTGGRAACATCTTCTCACTCTTTTTTGACACAGCCTAAGCAATTTTTCCAGAGGAGTATCTGTAGGATGAAATATTGAAGTGATTATTGAGAAAGCACTAAAACATTATTTTATGAGGTACAAATTGTTATGTTCTTTCAAGTCACCAATGTGTGTAGAAACGTGCCTCGTGGAGCTGAGAGTCAAGCTATAAATGGAACAATTATTACTTGGCATACAAGTCTGAAGAATAATTATGATCATGTCTTCCAATCAAGTAATTTTATATCTGTAGGATCTGATCATATTTATGGCTTAGACAATATGCATTGTTTTATTGCTATACATTAGCATTTATTTAGAGCAGTGCAGTGTAATTTAAGTTGATGAGTTCTTGTCATCTTTATAAATTGTTAGTTTAGGTGCTTGAGAATTCCAGAAAGAGAAAATGAAAAGAAACCTCAAGAAGAAGGAGCATATAATTCAACTGGCTGTGTTTTTTAATTATGCAAAGCACAGAGACTCCTCTTGCCTATTGCCTTCTGGGTTTTACTGGTTTAAATTGATAATTCTGTGATGTTCTTTACCTGTTTGTATATATAGAAACACATTCAGTCCAATTAAATTATTTCTTTCCTGTTTATGGTAACATATCTGTGATGAGTAAAGGTAAAATCTTATGCCATGGAAGAAATTTATGCAAAAATGTTTTATATGCATTTAAACTACAATATAACATAGAAGAGAATAAACCTGTTTTTTTTTTTTTTTCTCCTTTAAAAATCTGTATCACTTAGTACAATATACTTGCTTAAGTGTTTGTGACCTTTAGTTTCAGGAAATGATTCCACTCTGTTTTTCACCAACCCCCAACCCTCAGCATACACATTTATCCATGTATGTGATGGGAATTGTATTTATCTTGGCAATAAAAGTGCTAACTCCTCCTGTCCTGACCATTCTGTTTAGAGAATGTGGAAGCTCTGGGAGCATATACAGGTCACTGACTGCTCTGTGCAGCAGTTCTGTAAACCCTTTCCTTCACTTGCTGTCCCACAGTCCTTTACAAGGCAGGAGCAATTAAAGTGGAGAGCATGAGCTCTACCCATCAATTGCTGTTGAAGGTAGTTCCCAAATGAAACAAGTTAGTAAATTTGTAAACTAATTAAGCTTCATGTTTTCCATCCTTCATGTCTTCTTTTATGTCTGGGCAATGCACTGTGACTAATTGTGTAATTTTCATCATGTTCAAGGAAAGGTTGTTCCTGTTTATTTGTTAGCAGTAGAGTTGCATTATTCACTTATTATTTGCCATTCATTAGAGAGCATGTCTTAAAAAGTGTCTGTAAAGCTACTTGTACAAATCACAAAAATGATCTCTGCCTTCCTCTCCAAATGGTTTTTAGCTTTTCAAGAAGTAGTGATTTCATTTTTTTTTAACTAATCCCTGAGGAGAAATAAAAGCACACCATCATTTTTCAAGGCTATCTATCGCTTCCAGTGCTCAGGGGTGTTTAAAGCACAAACCACTACTGCTTGTCAGATTACAGATTTGTTCATATGTTATCACTCTGATGCAAGGTGGTGGTACTGAAGTGCAGTAGACAAACAGAAGAAAGGCRTCAGAGTATATTCCCTGGGTTTTTTCTTCCCATGTCATATGGGCTTGCATATTTTGTCTAAAGAAAAATCTTGTGTCCGATATATTTTCACGCATAAACAAAGTGCTTGTAAAAACTTGGATTCAGCAAAATTGATATCTTGAACTGACAAAAGGCTGTGTTTAGATATAAAAAAGACACATTAAAATAATATAGAGAGGATTTAATTTTTTTAACGATACATAAACTTTTGTCTCCTTTCTAAATCATCTTGGATAATATGAGTGAAATATGTTCAGTTGAATGAGTTGATAACCTGGTAGATAACCTCGGTGTCTGTTCTGGTCACTGAGGCAAGACRAACTTGACAGTAGATTTCAAGAGGGCAAATTTCACATCAAGATTTGCCGGTCTCTTTTTCCCTGGAAAATGAAGATTTGCACCTTAAAAATCAACATCTGCATTCCTGTATAGGATATGAGATTTCTTGTTGGTTATTTAATTAAAACATAATTTTCCTGAGCTTTATTTTTTACTTTTTTCACTTAGTAGTATCGCCTAATAATGTAAAAGTTTCCTCATACTTTGACAAAGATGATGAATTTGGGCAATTCTTGCAGAACGAAAATTATGTAATGTATTGATTTGCTCTGTGTTCCTTCTGAAGGATAAATGTCCCTGTAGGAAACAGCACAAAGTACATGGTTCTCAATGTGAAGCATAATTCACTAGTAAATACAGGAAAAKGTCTTAGAATAAGCACTTTTCACTATGGAGACAGATGGTCACATCACTTGGCAAGCATTCAGCTTTTTTTCCCTGAGATGTTTAAATAATGTTTATCAACCAATAGACATGGATAAAAATCAAGACAGCCTTAAATTTATTTACAACAGAATGACAGGCTGCTCTAGAAGTGTCCTATAAATAACAATAAACAACTGTTGAATGAAAGTCAATAAGGTGGAAAGAGAATTTTTCTACTGGATTGTAGGAATACATATATATCTACGTCTTTTTCTTGTAATGAAATGTTCTGTCCTCTTTCCTAACCCAGAACTCACCACACTGTTTACATACCTGGCACAGGGCACAGTGATTAGAGGAAAAACCAGATGGCCATATTTTTCCTTGTCTTGTTTATTTAGGTGATGGATAGATGAATCCTGACTTTACCTGTCAATCCAGCTGTAATTATTTATGTTCCACTGTGAATTTTTTGCATGTGAGTGCTCCTGCAGGTACACACTCGTGCACACACAGATAGCACTAAACTCTTTCTCTTCCTTCCGTAGGCTTAGAAAGAATTGCGAGAGATTCAGCCTATGAACAAGAAGGAAAAGTTCAGTTTGTGATTGATGCAGTGTATTCCATGGCCTATGCCCTGCACAAYATGCATAAAGATCTCTGTCCTGGATATATTGGGCTGTGCCCAAGGATGAGCACAACTGATGGTAAAGAACTGCTTAGCTAYATCCGGGCAGTAAACTTCAATGGTAAGTTGCATCTACTCTTTTTTTGCCCCTCTCTTCTGTAAATGTTCCATAAGTGGCAAGTTGGGTTTTATTCTTTATACAGGGTACTTTAAAGTACAGTGGAAAACAGGATTAGAAGCAGCTCTCATTTAATCAGAACTGTGAGTTTTTCCACCTGCTCTGAAACCTCGAGTGTATTTTTCATCTTAACATTTTTCATCTTAACATTAAGCTGCTCCCAAAAGAGGCAGATGTTAAAAATATGAATCTGTCGATCAAAATATTCCATTGAAAAGCTGCTATTATGGAAACAGATTGAAGACTTGTGCAGTCTTATTGACAGATTAAAATCATTTGACACTGGTTGCTTATATTTTTGCAAGAGTGTATAAWAAAATACCCTTCTGAAAATCTTCTTTTTAAATTGATTAATAATTTCCTTGCATAARTAAATAGTGAGTTTGCTTTCAATTTAAATAATTAAATTTCAATTAAAAGACTCACTTGCAGTTCCAACTTCTTTTCTATTTCATTGTTTTTGACTCAGTAATTTAGTGAGCTTTAACACAACTACAGTATATATTTTTAAACAACACTAGATAATGTTCTGTGGGCCTGGGATCTGCCTGCTGGGGAGATATAGTTACAGATGCTTATGCTGTTAATAGTAGAGGCCAATAAACAACMGGATTAATTTATGAATGTAGGTTTGAAAAGTGTAGAACATAATTGGTGAAACAAAGTTGCCAAAAACTTAAATTATTTCATTACAAGTCATAATCATTATAGGCAATATTTACCATTATTTTATAAATAAATAGAGTTGATTACTTTGCTCTGTTTTGGTGGGATTTTTTTTCCTTACTTGGTGGTAATTCATGTACTACACATGCCTTCTAACTATGCAGAGAATCACTCTATCACAATTTATTCCAATGACCTCAGCTACTTTTGAAAGCACTTTTGAAAAAAGCACAAGGTCATTTTGAATTTAACTTCTGACTGGAAGCTTTTTTTGCTTTAGGTAATACACCAGACTATTTGGTTGATACAAATGTTGGTTATAGTTCACAGTATTTTCTTCCTATGCAATTTTCATGAAAAGGGWATCCGTGTCTCCAGGAATATAAAGTTATAAGGAGTCGAAATGATTCTTTAGTGCTTTTAAGGAACACATGGGCTGGCAAGTGGGAAATGTTGTGATGATGACAAAGGTAGGCAGTATTGTAAGGCTTGCAGTGATAATTACCTACATAGATGTTTTTCTGGGTCTATGTTGTTAAAGCACAAAGTGATCTATTTTCATTTGGTGAGCTAAACATGAAAGTTTAGCATAACAAGATAAGGTGTACATTTTATATGAAACCTTCCTGTCCTTAGATAATTGYATTTCATCAATACCTGTCATGATTTCTGTTGCTGACTCTAAGTATGGCAATAAGAGGAGATGAAAGCATTCTGGACACTAATGAAAATGTATTTGATTTTGAAATAGTGATTTACTGAAAGAGAGGGAAAAAAAAAAAAAAAAAAAGAAGAAAAAGGAACATTTATTTGAGGTTAACTTCCTGTCCCATGGGATATGGTAAATGTTCCCTGTACTAGGCTAGTCCAGATTATATACTTGTGTACCAATTTTTGGGATGTATTACAGGCCCAAATATTTTATTTTCTTAGTCATGCATTTGGAGGCATAAGCAGGGTCTTAAACACTTTGCCTTTTCCTATTAATCCAAAATCCTTGTTCCTCGGGACAGCACTAATGCTATGTTTGACAGAGGTGAATATTTACATGGGTTACACAACCTCCTTTGTGGGGAATAACAGTAGTGCTGTGTGTCAATTTTGATGTGCACCCGAGCCTCAATCATTAATAATGTCTWATATTAAAAATTAATTGATACATGAAAGGAAAAGCCTGGTTTTCTTAGCCTCTCAAGATACACAGACTCACAGGCTGGCTGAAGCTGGCAAGGACCTCCACCTACTCCAACCCTCTGCCTACTTCAGAATCACCATAATCAGGTTCCTTAGGACCGTGCCCAACCAGGTTTTAAATATCTACAGGGGTGGAAAATCCTCCAAAATTCTCTGTCAGTATATAATCATATTCACAGTAAAAAAATATAACATGATTTCCTGTACTTGAGAATCAAGCCTCTGCTCTTCAAGGTGGTAGTAATTTTAAAAGTATCAAGAAATAACTGGCATTTTTGAGACAAGCAATTTTTCTTTTTCTTCAGTATCAATTTCCCCACATTATCCTACCYTTATGCATATTAAACCAACTCCTCCCCTTACTTATTCAGTATATTCCTCTTCACCAATGTAGCAATGAGTAGGTTCAAGTCCAGTTACATGTTGTCACATTCAACTTAATGGGTTTCACCTCATGGAGTGTGACCTGTATTCTGAAGGACCTCTGTCTGTCTTRTGGAGGGTATTTACAAGGGTAAGAAAACACACACATTTCATATATTTCACATGTGATTGTTGGAGTGACTGTTTTGCTTTGGATTGCAAGAAATCACTTTGAACTGTATTTATTTTTGTTTACTTAGTTTATTTTAATTTATTAATTAAATTGTGAAGATTTGCTTCCCTGAAGGATTCATCTCTGTAATATTCCATGACACCTTCATGACTGAAGGGTGATCATGACCACCAGTGCACATGCACTGATATGATTGACAAGACATTTGTTTCTGCTTAGCATACAACTGAAAGAATATCTAAATGAAGGAAATCTCACYGTTCATAATGATTTTAAATAGGATAGAAGTTAATTGGTAATAGAAATAAAGAAATTTATTTGTACACAAGATGTCAGTTACTGCTGACTGTAGACCCCTGTTTTACTGTTGCSTGTGTTTTGCATAGGACAGCTAGGAAAGAATGGTATCTAAAATCAAATCCTTTTCATTTACAATGGGCATTTTAAAAATTAATTTGATMGGAAAAGGACCTCTAACATGTAACTAATACGGCTTATTGCTTGGTACATYTGAAGAGTTTTTAAATGAAAATATAACAGCAGTGTGCTGAGATATGGCACACTTAGTACCTTGGGTTCTTGATGGTTACTTTTAGTAGACCACAACCAGCCCATTCTGTTTCTTTGATCAATGAATACTTAAACGTTTTGAAAGTTTTATTGTCCTACTTATCTTTCTTTTTCTCAGGCAAAAAGTGAATGTTATCATTTAAGATGGTCTTATTTTAGTAAGGTGCCACATTTGAAAGGGTTTTTTCCTATCACTCTTTGTATCCAAATGARATATTTATGCAAAACTGGTGTTTCATATTTAAAGTTAGGTAAARAGAAAAGTTTTTCTCTTAATTAGTTTAATAAATAGTGATATGCACAATAGTGTAATTGTGGCATGACTCAGTATGTTCTSCCATCACATGACTCTAGTGTTCTCTTTCTATTTAACTTCATTATTCTGTCTACAAAACAAGCAGGTGTTTTAGAAGAGTTTTTACCCTTGCATGTGCTGAGTGCTTCTTGAGAAGTTTTGAATTCAATGTAAGTGCTCATCATTTAACAGAAACAAGACTTGAGCATGCATTTGTGGTGGATGGAAGTGTTTCAAAGGTAGTTTTGTTTAGATTTTACAAGAAAGATTTATCTTTTTACTTCCTTCTAGACTAGGAATTACAGCATGGATGCAGTGCTATTTTTTGGGTGGGAATAAAACTCTCTTTCTCTCCACTACCTCCCTTGTGTGTATGTGTGTGTGTCTCTCCTCCCAACTCTCTCTTTATAGGCAGTGTAGGGTAGCTGATTTTTACCTACCTTTAGTCATACATTTGTATTTATATTTGTATTAAAGCATTTTAGTACTTCTAGGGCTAAGTGTCCCACACCATAACACAAAGTATTCGCAGATATTACAGAATGAGTCTTACACTTGTGGCAGTAAGGGCAGCACTTGACCTGCACTCACATCCTTCCAAGCAAGCATATTGTTTGCTTGTTTGCTTTGGTGGGCTGTTTATTCCCAGAAGTAATAGGAATACTTGCTAATTTGACTTTTTTTTTATGCAAGAGGGGATAATTGAGAAGTGAACAGGGAATAGGTGGAAGTGCTGACTCCCCTCTGTCATCAATGCTTAGATAAATGTTGTCTGCTTCTTCAGGAGGTCACTGCAACATCACTTCTCTCTCCTGGTGAAGAAAAAACTTGAAATACATTCTAAGTGTGCAAGCTTTCCTTTGGTCTTCTCTGAACAAAGTGAAGCAACTAAGTTGCTTGCTTGGATTTTGTGAAAGTCTACAATAACACTGCAACAGGCTGCTTAAAAAGAATTGTGCAATCTCTGTGCTTGRAGATACTCAAAACGGGGCTGGACAGAGACAACCTGCTCTAGCTAAGCCTGCTCTGAGAAGAGGGGTTGAGCTCGGTGATTTCGAGTTCCATGCCCACCTCAGTTTTGCCGTGATTCTATAATACTAGCTGGACTGGAAAGAAAGAAATATATTCACTTAACTCTGCTTAACAATGTTTTACTCTATTGTTCTGGAACTAATTTGATAGTCTGAGTTGACGAGTAAGCCTTGCTGTTATTTGTTTTTTAGATATGTTAATTTAATGCCTTTGAGAAACGATTAATTTTGGCTGAACACACAGAGACAGACTGCAGCATTAACCCCGTTTAAAAAGGAAACATCAAAAAATGCATCCTGAAAGGGCRGAATAGTGCCAGAGAATGAGAATAAAAGAACAGAAACTAGCAGGCTAACTCAAAATAAGGTGTTGACTAAAATAAAAATTAATGATCACTCCACATTGTAATCTTTTTTTTCTGAGAAAACATTATCTATACAGCACATTTAAAAAAAATCAAACCCAGTAGAATGATATTACTCATAAAGAATTTTGAACCCTCCTGAGAATCATTATTGTGGAATCAGCCRTTTACAAAATTAATCTTCTTCTGCTATCTTTTGAAGTTGCTAAGACATCAATCTATGCAAAACTCTCCTGACTTAATATTCAGCTCAGACTGTTTTAAAT